CTCCGCCCATGCGCTCAGCTTCGATATCTCGCCTCTTTTGAAAATCAATAAAGATTGCCCAGTGAAGCGCCCTTCAATGCCGTATTCGAGAAGAGGGAAGAAAGAGAAAGGAAAATGATGGAAATATAGAAGGATTAGGAAATGAGTGAGAAGTCAATCGTAGCTCAAGACGTACCTCTCCTTTGGCAATCGATTCACCAGGAATAAATAATTCTGGGAATATGTTGTCCAAATACCATTTGAATGACTTGCAGCCAAGACGTTCACGTAATTTCTTACGTTCAGATATATCGCCAATTTCTCCCTGAAACAAAAACTACTTCTTAACTATCGAGCAATGGCCATTGAACATCATGTGTTTCTTTTATGAGGTCTAAGCTTTTGCGCGGTGAATCCTCCATTCTAAACGCGCGCATGGCGACTAGAACATACTGTTTAACAACCTAGTTATATGCAATAGAAATAATTAGTAAGAATTAGTCAATAAGTCAATAATAAAGCTAGCTGTCCGTAACAATCTGATTCAACCCCCTCCTTACCCGGTCATGTAGTTGGTACCAGACCAACTCATACCAGTCGGTCTCCAGGAGCCCCTAAGATAGAGGTCCGTCTGATTCGTAACTGTATTATACTACAGTAAAGGCGTCTGGCAGCACAACGAGTCGGCATGGAGCAGAACGTGAGTACGAGTTTTACTCATGACTAAGCACTGATCACATTTGAATAATAGTACATACCAACTGGTTATTGATCCGTTCGTAATAATATTGTTTGTATTCATCCAGCCATACTTCTGCTAATCGTACTGAATTCCTCTTCAGCACATTTACTCCAGTCCTGCAATTTTATATTCGAGTGACTTACACATACTCATGGGCTACTAATCTTATTCATATCTAACAAAGGGATTCTGCGAAAGTTTGGTTATATAACGAAATTCAGAAAACGAAATTTTTAAAAATGAGTAACAAGGAAAATTGTCCCTTGTCCCCGCAAATAATGCCTGAAATCAAAGGGGAAGGACCAGACTGAGCTTTCAGAAAAGCACCTGATAATTACTTAGTCATCTATTAGGAACAGCTAAGCAAATAAGCTAGCAAAAAAAAATCAAAGTTCCTAGTCCATCCTACTCAGAGAACCGATAAACTGAAGGTACAATACCTAGTTCCGTTAATTCTATAGGGAAAAATAAACCGATAGCACTAAAATCTTTTTCTTATGTAGTGTAGCATGAAATTAAATTCAGAAAAAACCAATTCTAGTGAGTAAAATGGGAAAAGTAAAAACAAAGGGCAAAGAAAATGGTACCTCCACTTATAAGGCGACCGTTTTCGGAAAATGTGTCCAACATGTGAACATGGAACAATTTCCAGAGTTCCACCACACATCCAAATCTAAAAAAAAGCCAGAAAGTATATCTGATTCACTCTCGTACCCTCGGAGATCAGGCATATTGAATAGGGAAGTTTAAAACCATTCGAACGACACTACGGGGAAGTTGCCTCTGACTGGTTGCTACAAATAATCCACCAACGATGGGGTCTTCATGATTTAGGGGCGACTTTCAACCAAAGAAAAGGACAACACCATAGAATAGTCAAAGACTTACCTTGAACGACAGTTCAAGATTTTCTCCTCCCCAAATGTCGAAACCTGGATCGTAGGTGCCAAGTTTTTCGAAATATGCTCGATCAATGGAAAAAAGACCGCCAGCCATTGTCGGAGATCTGAAGATGACAAAATTATGCTAGACAAAGAAGGAGAAGAGAGACTACTTCAAGGGAAGAGCCGTGGACTCGTCTTCGGTCGCAATCATAGATGAATTTGACCTGGTTGATGTAATAATACGTTCTCTGACTATTGGTACCAAATTATCCTTTGCAAAAATACAAACTATTGATTGGCATGATTAATAGGGACCTGATACCCTCACTTCAATCACCGCTGAGCAGCCCTTTCATCACTTCTCAACCTCTACTCGCAGTAACGTACTACTAAGGAAAAGGTCACGCCGCTCACCGGACTGGGTCGATAGCTCTTGAACGCATCTTCCTATCCCGTTCCGGGATGGGATGCCAATTGAACTGCAAACCCCAGTCGAAACCACCGACATTCGTGAAATATGCCTAGAAAGAGAACATCGAGCTTTGTTGATAGTAAAAAACAAATACTTGCGTAATACCTTCGAGTAGTGGTACTGGAATGTATTGTCATCAATGACATCAATTACAGGACACACCACCGTGGTTGGATCTCGCTTTATTCGGTCTAATAACGGCTCAATCCATCCTAAATACATCAAGTCATGCGACAGCAAACTGAACGAGATTCAACACAACAGCGGCTGCCGCAACATGTAAAAGTGATGCGCGCGGGCGCGACGCAGTCATCCGAGCGACAGGCTGCAAAGAGGTCGAGTGCCTCGCGTGGAATGATATTTGAAGCTTTATTATTTCACTAACCTTCCATACATTCACAGTGTGAGTCAAGATATGTCAACACTTTTCCCTCTGCGATTGCAGCGCCACGTAACCGCGCGCGGATCAGTCCTTCCCGTTTTTCCATCCGCAGAATCTTCACTTTTGGAAATTGTGACATATATCGAGCAAGGGGCTCTAAAAGAGTGCACTCATTAGCAGCAAATTTTTGCTAAAAACTGTTTTAACCAAAAACCGATTTTATAGGCCCCATGTGCATAGAATTGTATTTTGTTACCTTTAGTGTGCGCCATGTCTGAAAAATCATCAACCAGAATGATTTCCTTGAGCAATCGATCAGGCGTTCGTTCCAGTATTGAATGAACAGTACGCAGTAGCACTGACCACGCCTCGTTATGGAAACATACAACGACGGATGTGTCTGGCAGATCGTCATGGTACTTCTCTGTCAAACATCTGAAAAAAGTTAACTAATCCACAATGCCACAATAAAATTTCTTCAGTAATCCTTCTTAATAGGCTCATTTCATAGGAGATAGCTATGATATAACAGTAGACAACAAGTACTACAAGTTCTATGGGCGCAGAGGATCGTATAAACAACCGTACGAAACTTATTTTACCATCGCAATGCCATCGTAGATGAAGGAACACGAGTGCTACGGAGCGGAATGAGAGAGGGAGCCTCGCCCGCCACTTGCGTGCGGCTGCGTAGCGGTTCTAATTCTGTGTCTTCATTTCTCTGGCTGCCTTCATAGTCCGCGATCTGGACCACGAGCGCCCGGCCGGGGAGTACTCGTTGTCGACCAAGACCCAGTTATAAACAAAGGGCAAGCGCCGCCCGCTGCCGGCGCGCTCGCTCGCTCGTGCGCTCGCAGGCCGGATCGCGGACTATGAAAGCAGCCTCTAGCATTGGAGCGCAGCATAGTTTGCGTGCCGTTTTCAAAAATATACGACATGACCTTCTTGAGCACTGTAGAAGGCCCCTCACCGCTCAGCATTTTTATTGAAGAAGCCGTGCCCCTCTCCGACAGTTGAGTAAGCAGCGTTCCGCCCATTCCGAGCAGTTACCGTAAAAGCCGATTCATTCACGCGCGTTCGATTCCTAGCTAAATGCCCCGTCAGATGTCGTTCGGAACTTCAAGTCACTTATGAAAGGCTTCCTTTAGCGAGTCGAATATCGAGTCGTAGCAGGAATCGTATAAAACTGTTCAAAATTAGGAAAAATAAAAGAAAAAAAAACTTACTCTTGGTCAAGAATTTCCGGTAGCGTTCGATGTATTGATATCATATCTGATGCATATTGATTGAAAGCGTTATTTTGGAAGCCCAGATCGTACTTCTTCTTCTCTTCTGGCGATAATTTCTGAAACAGTTCTGGTCACTAAAAAGCAGAAACATTCAAAAAAAAAAACTTACATTTTTGTCAATATTCACTGCAGCTCCTTTTTCACCCGCTTGATTTGGATCTCCAGACTTATAAATGGGATCTGAGGTGTTCACAAAAAACGCCGGCTTCGGTACCACAGGCATCTTAAATGATAAAGCCTGCTATAATTATAAATATACAGCATCATAGAAAACATTTATTCATCAACAGCATAACTACACATCGAAGAGTTACTATCGATTGCTCGTTTCGCGCGTTTTCCAAAGACATTCAATCAATAGCTATTTCCAGTCGTGGCTTTTTGTTCCGTAGATCCAACTAGGACCGACAATAACAATTTCTGGCCTTTATGTGAAGCTAAGTAAAGAACAAAACTGCAACTTCTCCATTTATGTATTCACCGTTCGTAGTGGTTTCGCTAGGCAAGAGAGTGGAAACAGCTGGTAAGAAAGAGCGATATCGATTGCCAACGACAACGAGCGCAACAACACGAGCAATCAGTAGTCCACTTTGGTGTGGTTCTGATCATTCAATAGGTAACGTACCGGCTCCTTGTCTACATCCTTTTGTTTCTCTTCTTCTTTCGACGGCTCATCCTTCACTATCGGTGGACCAAAACCCTCTACAAGCGGCACTCGGGGCTGTCGTTTTGCCGCTTCTACTAGATTGTCGCGAACCTGAATTTTATCGATTCTCCCACTTTTCAGGCATGCTTCAATATCGTAAATCATCAGGACTTCTTCTTATGGTAAGACCACTTTGCGATACCGTGAACCATCTTTCAGAATTATCATCAAAGACGAAACACAGTTAAAAAGGCTGCTTATTTCTGACCTCTCGCTGACGCTGACCTCTTCACCTGGGATATCTCCCACGGGGGTAGGGGAACTATATGCGTTTCATTCAGAACAATATTAACCTTCACCGATATCATTGTTAAAGGCACATTTCACGTTGAAAGTGGTATCTGAGACTTTCAAATGAACCTGTGACACCCAGGATAGCCTAAGGACGCTGTTAGGCCAAAAACTGCTTAGGCAGAACGTAGTAAGGGCCCCCAAAACCGAGCGCGCTTCGTTGCGCGCGTCCGTCGAAACTAGGTCACGCCGCAACCATCGCGTGCGGCGAGTCGGCCCACGATACTTGACGGACGTCACAATTGACAGTGGAGCATGCGATTTACTGTAATGTCATCGCGAGATCTTAAAGGGGTGCGCCGCGCTCGAAGTGGGCGGGGTGACCTACTTTCCACGGACGCGCGCAACGGTTGTTCCCCCCCAAAACCGGCTTAGCTGACTCACACACCAAGGGCGGACGAGTTGTTAAGCGCTGTGAAAGTGTAGAGGTTGCACAATTTGTACCGAGACCCACACCTTGCACGCAGGCAGCGTAGTACAGCCAGCTGTACGCGACGGCGCGCACATTTGAACAGTTTGTCCTAATATCTATTCCATGCGATTTCTGCTGTCTTATTCCCGTACAACTCTCAATTTTGCTTCTTCTTTGAAGCCTTATATTTCTCCAAATACGCCGATTTCCGCGTTCTCTTCGCCTTTTCTGTTTCATTCCGAATTATCACTTCCATTACTCGTCTAAAACTAGACACCCCAAAATTACCGTGAACTATGCATCTAAACGAAGGGTAGTTCAATCAGTAGCGAAAACGAGTAAATCAGGAGAAATTTTGGAACATAAGGCCTTTCTTGAAATAATCGTTCCCATGGTTTGACTTATGAGGACCAGAGGGGTGTTTGAACGAAATTACAGCCCTTTTAAGACCATCAAATGCCCACTCTTTTTCTTAGGAAATGGCAATGGGCAGGGTCAATTCTGAGCCCTTATTGCGTCCTATTTAGACGCTTTCGGCTCGGCAAAGCTTCATGTGTTTTCCAAAAAGCCAAGGATTTTTACCAATGAACAATCACCAAAAGCATTTTTCGCGAACCGGGAATTAGCCTCTTTCTACGCAGACGATTCGGAATCCGGAAAGAGGCGGGGCTTCAATTTTGTTCCACAAGAAACCCCTAAGCAAGCGACAGGCTGTACAGTGGAATCCTTTGGCAGGAAAGGCATATTCCACCAGAATACCCTACCGAAAACTCATAAATAGAATAAGTAAATAAAAATAACTTCGAAAAATAAAAAAAAGTTAACAATGAACTCACATTATTCGAATGATCCACGACAGCAAAATAAAACACTACACATATCCATACAACTGGTACCAATATAATTATTTTGAAAAACAGCGAACGTTTCCGTGCTGGTAACAACATGATCAGGAATCGTCACAGCTGTACAGAAAGAATCGGGGAATATTTGGTAGAATAGCTATTAATAAGAATGAATATAGAATTACTAGAGGAGCAGGACTATGAGCAGTTCAAATAGGGCCAAATCCGAGCTCCAATGAGGCGAACGTTAACGCCGTAGACGACTGGATGACCTGCCGTAGCCTTCGATCTTGACGAAATAACGTTCCCTCCAGCAACTGCTGAAAATCCACTTGTCAACTCATGGTATAAGACATGAAATTGATACGAATCGATCGATGAGCCGAAAAAGAAACGAACGATATCACACGATTCGAACAAAAGATATGGATTCTATCTGATTAGCGCACTATTTCGGTAGTGCTCCCAAATGGGAGGAAGTCGTACCGCCCCTGCCAGGACATCCCGATCTCTTCACTACCGCGACAACCACCCTTGATCATCCAAATACAAAATGACAAACGGGCTACTGTATAAGTTTACTAGTAACCTGTCCAAAATGGGAGGTATGCGTCGTAGATGGCTTGCCCGACTGACACGCCCCAATAGTTTTNTTTTACCCTCGATTAGTCGCCTATATAGTAAGTTACATGATCATTCAATTGACAAGACGAAATCGACACATTTCGGAAATCGGAAATCGACAGGAAAGAGAAAGTGTGATAGATAAATGAGAAAGAGGAGCATAACCACACACTCAGAATTCAAGAGGCGAACACAGTAACTATAGAAGGAGACCACGCCCACTACTATTTTACCACTGCTCCTCCGCTTCTGAGAGGAAGGCCGGTTATGGAATTCAGCTGTATTGTATGACATGGCGAACGCTGTCATTGAGCAAGTGACACATCAATCGATCTATCGAGCCTTTATTATTATTTTTATTATTGTTTATACGCTCTAAAACATGTACAAAGGGAGATCAAAGGAAATATCATTCAAGCCAAAGCAGACGTGTACAAAAAGTAAACCTATGGGAGGGAACAGAGTGAATCAACCATCTAGTTTTACCTTGCAGGTAATGAGAATGAAGTCACTTTTTAGAGTTTTTGGAATGAAGTAAGTTGAACACTCCCGAACCTACCGGTATACGCCATGACCCTATGAAGAAGTATAAAATTTGTGCTCAACTGATGCCCGAGATTGCAGGTTTGGTAGCTTGAGGCTGACCAAACTGTATTATCATATTACCAGTACACCTTTGCCTCTGAAAGGCAGCAGCACACCTTCCATTTTCAATGGCATGCCAGCTGGATTGTATAACAATGGGAACAGTGTCACTGTGCAATTGACACATCGATATCGATCATCCGAGCCTTTATGAGCAATCATTGTGCTGAAGAGACGACTACGACCATCACCAAACTTGCTACAGATCGATCATTCAGTTATGTCATCCAGTCTACATCACTACTTTTTACACCCAAAAACCCTCCGCTATCATGTTATACCGTTAAGGATCATGCTATGGCTACGTTGCTTTGATAAGGCCCCCATTTTCATTTATGACAATGTGAGAATTCTGGGAATTCTAAACGATTTTCCAAGAATCAGAATAGGGCGTCAAACGGCTTGTTGAACATTGAAGACCTCAAGACGGATGTCACTATCATGAAAGGTGCTACAACTATATAAGCAAAGTTAAACTAGTAAATTCAATATGCAGTAAACAATTAGGTTCTCGAAGAATGAGCGGCAATTCTATACTTAAAATGAAGAGCACAGTTACGTTTCTCGTCCGAAATAGTGTCACGACTCTTCGCCTACCCACATTGTTCATTAGCGAGTAAGCGACACCAGCGACAGAGGGCGACAACGATCGACAAGGTGCGACATGCAGCGAGACTGAGGTTGGCGGTAAATAATGATGACGGTTGAGAGCTGATAATTTGTAGCGCTTAATAGAGACTAACGCTGAGAATTTTTCAAGTGGAACGGATTCACAAATGGACGAGTTCTCTTGAAACTCACTTGAAGATCTCAACTATAGCTCATTAGCGATCAAGAGACACTGTAGAAGATGTTCAAAAGGAAGGTGAGGAAAAAATGGGTAAAGCAGAATGAATTCGTGGCACTCTTCACAGATGGCTGTGTTGACAATGAACATATCATCCCTTTGTATCTACAATAATAGGGGATCCAATTTCAAATATTCCAAAACATATACAGACACAAATTTTTTTATCAATCCCATCGATATTTTCCCGTTTTCAAAGCAGAGAAAGTTTTTAGGGTCATTACCGCACAGTAAACGGTAAGGGCAATCAAACAAATGGCTATGGAGAACCCTAAAAGAGCACTTATGGCTGAAATGTGCAGCTGCAAGGCTTTCGAGGTGATGTGGAACGAAAAACAATAATCTATAAAACCTCACTCAATAACTAATCGAGAAAGGAGGGGGTAAGAGGTGGCAAGAGTACCACAGAGTGGTAAGTATTACAGTCTCTCGAGGAGTAGGCTAAACAGTACTGGTTGTAGTGGTTATAGTGGCAGTAGGACATTACTGCTATCACACAAGTTTCCAGCATTCCATCCCCCTCGCCCACTCCCACTTGAAGCTTCTTCGGCAGGGGTTGAGGAATATCAACAGATACTCCAAGCCAACTGCTAGACATCGTACTGCTGTATTACTTTTTGTACTATGTGAAGGCAATCAGTATCGCTTGAGCTGTTCAGCCGCCAAGAATCACTTTTGTAATAGCACGACGGTAACTAATAATGTGGGAAAAATCGCATCTTCTCGTCAGCCGACAATGAGTTGGAAGAATCGCGTGTGCGGTTAAAAAACAAAGCATCACAAAAGCCTCTACGAGAAGGATCTCTATGGAAAGAAAATTTTTGTAGATACTGATTGCAAATAAAACAAAGTAGCTTCCAGTAGCAGGCGTCATAACAGAACAGCAGACGAAGATAAAAGAACATCAGAACGATACATTGCAACTGGCACGGGTAAATGACAATGGCACGGCGACAGCAAGAGATAATGAGCGGTAGCCGACGACATCAAGCTACGTGTGCGACAGTAATTGAAGAGAAGAAGTGATTTATGCAATTCCAAAAAATGCAGAGGGGGGTGAAGGATACAGAACGGTAATAAGAGATATCAAGCGATTCTAAGACTATGAATTCTGGAGTTGACAACAAAAGGACCAGGTCAAGGGTGTTACTAACAGATAGCTTATTTTAAAGGAATTCGAAACTATGATGCTTTACAATGCTTTTTTTCACGCAGCATAGGTTTTCTACAAGTTTCAAGAAGACCGAACGTGGAAATTTCTAAAACTATGATCAGGTATTTCCCCGGTAATGACAGTATGCAGATGAAGTACAAGTCACTGATGGCGGAAGAGGACGAGCACGACAATGAGCACCACCCAGGCAAGAATAACTGGCAGTTGGCGTGGATGAACCTCATGAAGGAAGCAAAAGAAAACCAGGCCATAGGTGATGGTCACGAA